GACATTATATAACTTGTTCATGGAATATTAAAACATTTTCTCCACTGCACCTCAAGATTTAGGATGAACAAATATAATATCACATAAAAGTGATACTGGAAATGCTGCCCCAATATGCAAGCTAGCCAAATGGCTTTCACTTGTAAAACATGCTGAGGCTTTCAAAGAGATAAAAGCCATGAAGGATCAAGAAGTGATAGAATTGGGTACTATTTGGGCATCACCTATTGTACTTATGAAGAAGATGGACTACCATAAAGAGAATGAAGTCACAAAGAAGAATGCCTACCCAATACCAAATATTAACTCTACGTTGTATGATCTATCTGGTTCAAAATGGTATTTAACATTGAATCTTGAGAGTGCAAGTCGACAAAACAAGCAGAGAAAAAATAGTCTTTACTGCAGGAAATGAATTATGGAAATTTTTGCTATCACTTGGACTATGTAATGCACTTGCTACATTTCAAAGTTTAATGGAATGTACTCTGTCTGAACTATCCTGGAACATCATTATGGATCAGTTGAAGAAAATGGACTTTTAAGTTGAATCTTAAGAAGTGTGAGTTTTTCCATCAACAGGTGAGTTTCCTGGGACATATAGTCAGCAGAGAAAAATTGTCTATAGATCCAATGAAGGTTGACTCTATCCAGAATTAGCTAATACCAAAGAACCTGTGTGAGGTATATATATATATATATAGATATATAGATATAATTCGTCTTCTACATAAATTAGTTGAAAAGCCAAATAAATTGGACTGTTAATTATGAACAAGCATTCAACATACTGAAGAAAGAATTGATCACTACTCCTAAATTATCATACTGAACTCTTGAAGATACAGATGCCAGTGATTTTGCAGTGGAAACACTGTTGTCAGAAGCACAACACGGAAAAGAACTTGTGATTGCTTACAAAAGCAAGGCAATGAATACTGCTGAAAGGATACAATGTAAATTCAGGGAGAGTTACTGAGTGTTGTTCGAGCCTTAAATGATTTCCACCATTATCTATATGGATAAACGTTTATACTCCAAACATATCGTGCAGTATTGAAGATCAGAAAGCCAAATAGCAAGGTGGTTCCAAAACCCCAGAAGTACAACTTTAACATTATGCATCAGCCTGGATGGAGCTATGGAAATGCTGAAATATTATCTCAAAGACCAAATTTTAATGAAAAATGTAAACACTGTGAAAAGAGGGAAACACAAGATACTAAATATTACCAGCCTAAAGTACAAATGAGTATAATCCAAGATATGACATCCACAAGCAATAATGAAAAACTAATGTAGTCCAATATTCAACTCAAAGATGCTCAGTCAAAAGATACAAGTTTAAAACCAATTTATTCAGTGGATCAAGAATAGTGCAAAAAGGCCTTCATGGCAAAAGTCGTTCCACACAGCCCAAAGAAAAAGATGTATTGAGACAGTGGGATTCATTATGCTTACGCGAGGGCTTGTTATGTCAGAAATGGAAATAAATCAGTTAACAGAAACAACGACTATTGTTGGTACTTCCACAGTCTATATTCTGAACCACTCTGTCATCTCCATAATCTTCCAATGGCCGGTCACTTAGATATTAAGAAGACGCAGGATTGAGTAAGAGAATGTTTTTATTGTGTTGGGTGCCAGAGATCTGTAGAAAATTGGTGCAAAATATGTGAACTATGATATGAACAAAAAAGTCCACAAAAGAAGCAATATGAGCAGCTACTACAGTACTATGTTGGAGCACCACTTGAGAGAGTACTGTTGATGTGTTTAGTCCTCTGCCACAGAATAACTGCGGGAAGAATACATTATCTTTGTGATGAACTGTTTCATAAAATGGTCAGAAGCGTATGCTGTTGCTAACGAGGAAGCAGAACTATACAAAGGAAACTAGTTAATGAATTCGTTTCAAGATTTGATATGCCTTTGGAACTTTACTTAGATCAGATATGAAACTTTGAATTAGACTTGTTTGTGGAAATGTGTGACATCATTGGAATAAAGAAAGAGCAGTGCAACAGCCTTTCATCTATCTTCTGATGGCATGGTGGAGAGACATAAATGCATATTGTTAAATCACTTAGCTATGTACGTGGATGAAAATCAGAAAACGCGGATCAAAATCTTCCACTATTACTGATAATTTATCATACAGCAGTAAATGAAGCTACAGGCAATAAACACTACATCATCACTGATATTTGGAAAAGTGTCAGTGGAAGTTATGTACTCTCATCCAGAGAATAGCCACTCAGAAGAGTGTTACACGGAACATATATATATATAGTGCTTAAGAAAACTATTGATGTCATCCACGACTTTATCCATGAAATACTTAAATCAGCTTGTAATAAAATGGAAAATCGCTATGATGTTAATGCTGATAAGACTGAATTCCATTGAGATGACATGGTATGACTGTACAATCTTCACAGCAAGAAAGAACAAACTCCAAGGTTAAGCAGGTGCTTCTAGGGGCCATATGTTGTATGAAAAGAATTAATGATGTGGTTTACATAATCGATAAAATAGGCAATCTAAGCTAAAGGTAATCCATGATGAAAGTCTTTGAAAGTATACTGGTGAGAGACTGACCAAGTGAATAACCCCGGAAAGGAATTTGTCAGTGGGAATTCAACCTGCTGAGGAGCCCAGGGTTACTGCCAAGACAACTTCCAAAAGATGAATACAGATAGAGCTGCTAGTGATTTCACTCTACTACTTACCTAGGAAGAACTCCTCCAGCAGGGGACTGCTAGTGATGACAAGGGACAATAGGCCACCCCATCTGTACATCATAGGCCCCAGAAGGGAAAATCAAGAACAAGACTGGATGAATGGACAGTTTAGTATACTGTTTTATTCTTATATTAGGATTGTTCATGGAACTTCACAATCCAGGAGGGGCAACAATGCTGTAAGCTATATTTTAATTATTTGTTAGATATAGGGCACAAGAAGTTAAGATGTAGTAAATTCGACTGAGGTCTATATAATCATATCAGTTATAAATACATATAAGCAGTTAGTAGTGAGCTATTCTGTTGTCAGTTGGTAGAGTACCAACCATTTAGTGAAGTAATTGAATCGGAGTTAGTTATCGCACGTGTTCAGTTACTGATCGATTGTACAAGTTTACCTGTACGTTAGTCATAGTACCATTAGCGATGTATTTCCATTGAAACTTACACCTACAAGTACAACTGTGTAAAATCCTGTAGGTTAAGGAACAAATAAATTAATTTGTTATCGTTATCTGGACTGTACTTGGCTTTATTTTCACCAAATAAGAACTAGCTCAGTTTGGCGGACAACTATTGACGATATAAGCAGACTTATGGACAAGTGGTGACAAGACTTAACAATTTAAACAAGTGGACAAAATATTTAACAAAATTTAAAGTATAGGAATGGGTGCACCAAAAAGGGAGGTGATAGACGTCTTGGACGTGTTACGCAATACACGCTCACTAAGCCTTTCCGATTTTTGTAACGCCAACATATTCGACAAAACTATGAATTGCTTCCATGATAAAAAGACATATAACTCAAAATCCTATGTGTTACTTGTTAATTTCCATTGTCATTATT